CCAGCATGGCCATATTGACTGGAAGATCTAGGGATGCCTGTTCTGAAATATTACATTTTCCACGCCCTAGCAGACATGCCTAGAACTGAGATGCACTCTGTATGCATGACATATATTGTGCTGTGCCTTACTCCTTGAATAAATGTACATACAACTGAGCTGTACTTTGTATACCTGGTAAGAATGATGTTTGGCCCCCATCCCATATTCTTAGCCTGCCTACCTGTGCTCTGATATATACTTCCTAAGTTGGAACCTATCCATTCCTGCTCCACCCCAAAAGCTACACAGCCCTTTTGTCTTTCTTGTTCCGATATCTGCTCTATTACATTACACGATGTGACTCGCTGTAACAAAGCACCTCTGTGGTCGTTTACTGACTCAGAATGGCCTTCCATCTCTTTTGGTCTCTGCCACACATCCTTGGGCTGGCTGTTTTCTCCTGAGCCTGATTTCTCTCTCTGTCTCTGTCTCCTCTACAGGAAATTTAATTTGGCCTTCTCTTCTCTGGCCAATGATTTCACCTTGCTCCTCAGCCACACACCTTATCCTGATTTGAGATCCTTTCCAACATGAGGCAACATATACAACATCTAAAATACTCACATGCCTCACCTAGACTGCAAGGAGACCGAATTATTTATTTGAAGCTGGCGTTCCTCCATCCCTTGGTAGGGGGCGCCACTATCCTTTTCCTTAACTGGCTTGCTCACTTTCCAATCTAAAACCACCTTCAGACTGCATTAGATGTCTTCCTGTTTTCCTCTGTGAACCGGTGGCAGTGGAAGAAACTCTGTGTGTGTATGCATGTGTGCATGCATGTATGTATGTATGTGATGGGATCCACAGCAACTACGAGTGCTTGAGCTCCTTAGAGGTCCCATTGCTCCCCTCCCACCCACTCCAGAGAGGTCAGGAGATCAGTATGGAGGTCCCTGCAGCCTGGGCAGTTCCATTGGCATTGTGATTTGTTAGAAGCCATTCTAGAGGACTGGAGCCAAGGCCTGCCACAGGCTGGCTGCAGTATCAAAGCAGCCATCCCACAAAGCCAGTTGATGACCAGGACAGAGCTACTAGATGCTGTTTATGTGGGGAATCAATGGGGCAACAGGGACGGTGGGTTAGGATTGGGGTTATAGGCTGCTGATCTTTTTCAGCAGTTGGTGGGTGAAAGCCCTGGGACCAGACTGTGCAAAGTTTAATTTGATGAGAAACAACATGGTTTATGCATTAACTTAATTGCTGTGCACATGGGGCTCTTGCTTCATAGCACTTCATATACTATGAAATGACCCTTCCAAACTTCCTATCCTTTTTCTCACCGTTGTTGCCTGGCCATCATTTTGAAAGAGGTTTTGCTGACCAAATCTTTTAGCTTTTACATGATCCCGTCCGAGGCCCTGGTCATTACTGCGTTGAGTTGACACACTGTGTTGAGTTCAGTGAAACCATTAATTTCATAGAAACAAACCAATTATCTTGTTTAACAGAGTTGTAAAGATCAAACACACTGCAAATATATATATTGCAACTCAACATATATTGCAACTCAACATTTTTGTTTTAGTTTCTATGGAGCTCTAGGGCTGGTTTTCCAATGGGATTTATTTCCCCCGTCTTTTGCTGTATGCAGTCAATGAGAAATGGCTTACTTTTTGTAATTTTCCATAACATACCTCTGCTCTCAGTGTTGTGCCTGAGAAAGCATACTCTCAGACACCAGTAAAGAAAATTAGGGTGAAATATATAAATGAAGGAAGGGGGAGCAGAGACAGGGTGTGTTTTCTTATATATTCCTAGAGCTTATAAGAATGTTTTTTGGGGGGGCCTTCATTATGTCGCAGAATGGAAGATACAACATTTGTGGAAAGTTAATTAAAGTGAGATGTTTAAAACGTTGCTGCAAAAGTCACACAGTCCCTAAACCTGACTAGCTTTCTGTACAAGCAGAGACGGATGCACTGTGGTCAGTCACATGGACTGAAATGACACACAAAGCACCAGACATGTCAGCCATGGGGTTGGGAGCGCCAGCCAAGCCGAGAGAGTGAGGTTGAATTAACAGATACACAAACATACCTCGAAGGAAGGATTCTGAGAAGAGAGAAACTAAACAGGCCTGTATTAAATTGAGAAGTGAGCATAAAATTAATTGACATAATTCAATCTTCATTTCCCAATTACAGGGGCTAGAGGAGAGGCATGTGATATATTTTTTTGGGGGGGACATTTTGTAATATGAAGCACACCTTTCTTGACGATGCTTCAAGGCTGTGATCCTGAGCTGTAGCACACAGCATGTTTTCTCCTGCCGTGGAAACTAATCGAATCGGTATTTTTCCAATGAGCAAAAATTCTGCGTGTTGTCCTTCTCTTGCAATCTTTCCGTACAACGCTAAAATAAAACACACGATACAATGGCTACGGTCCTCAGTTTGCATCACTAACAGATTGGTTAACTGTTACTCAGAACAATCTATAGATTGGGGAAAATCGTCCTTTATTTATGTATGGAAATGATTACAAGGTCTGGTTTCTCATTTGCTAAATGCAACAGTTCTTCATTTTTAACTGTTTTTAAAATGCTTCACTTCAGCTTTTGCATACATGGTAACATGGTCAATCATTATCATTTTGAAAACTTAAATTATTTGTGTCATTTTATTGCACAGTATAGTCCCAGTTTTCATTTTAAACTGAACGCTGAATTCTTATATGAAAATGAGGACTAGATACAATAAATAACGCTTCGCTGTGCACCAAAAACTATGGCTTTTATAAAATTGTTATTATCTCTACATTTCTAGAAAAGTAAACATACATCTAATTTCTAAATTTTAATTTTGAATTCCTTCAAAGTATTGTTTTATGTCAATACAATGATTTTAGTCATTTGAAGAGACAGGCAGCAATGTTTCCTATAAAATGATTTGAGTGTAAAAAAATTATTATGCACACAATACAGACTAAATTATATATCTGTAGTGAATGTTGTGAGTCTTATTAACTTCTATTTGACTAATGAAAAGTAATTTCAAATTTACAAGAGTAGAAAATAAGAATTATAATTGAAATGTATGTCATGATATTAAGCTGAATACCAGGCATATTATGCCCCCCCCCAAAAAACTCTGCCTTGACAAAGACTTTATTTCACAATTCAATGGCATATTATCACATGCAATAGGTTTAATTCATAACCTCTCTTTGGCATCAATTAGAATGATCACAAATATCAGATATAATTTCAGATATTTGTAACCAAACTGCAAGTGGTTTTCTTTTGTTTACAAACAGTTGTTTTAAATGCAAAACTAATTTAAATGCAGCTTAAATATAGATCTGTTCTAAGGATTGTTACGATGTTGTTGGGGCTGTTTTAAAGTTAATTTAAAGCTAGCTGCCTTACATTACAGTTCAATTATTTAACATTCATATACCTAAACTGATTTGGAAGTTAGATACACAGCATTGTAAAATTTAGTCTTCATTTAAGTAGATACTTCCTAAGAGATCGATTTTAAAGATTGATCTAAGATTTTTCTTTTTCTTCATTTTCTGATTTATGTAGTACTTTAAATTACTGGATGCAACAGTTTTGTTTTGTTGACAGTTCTCTATTTAGGAGTAGATACTTAATAGCAGACATTACTGCTTTGCAAAATTTCCTATTAATTCTTCAGGCAAAATTGCTGAAAATTCACATTAAAAATCCAATATATTTCCAACGGAATGTAGATGTTGCCAGATATAATATTTTACACCATCTGTCTCTGTGTTCTTAATAATTTTGCATATAATGCATCTACATAAAATTAATCAAACAATTTTAATATGACACAAACAAATTCTAAATGTTAAAGCATATTACTGTATATGCAATTCATGACTTTGTGTTATAATCCAATCACATTAATGCAAACTGTGTAGTAATTTTTTGGTATTTGTAATATGCAAAATCTTTAATTTTACATCTCATTTTAATATTTTGAGTGAAATATTCCATCATATATACTTTGATATCTTTATAGATCAAGCCTTAGAATTTACAGCATTTTGCTCTTTTGCATACAATACTATTTACCTTTGATGCATTTTACATGAAATATTTCTACATAAAGAAAATGAAACCTTGTTTTTTTAAAAAAATAATTTTATCTGCTATTAAACATGTTTTTTATTTAGCCGCAAATTTTGAAATCTCTCTGTAGACAGTAATTCGTCTTCTTGATGACGATATTCACCTTTTATTTATAATGTATACTGTTATTCATATTTGCTAATGTTTGCTAAAGAAATCATAGATACTTATTTCATGTATATGTATATCTGCATCTATCACTTTATATATCTACAGTATCTATTTATCTAACTAAAATAATCAGATTCTTTACAATTAGGACACATTATTCTTTTCCCTGTATAACTTTAATACTAAATGGAGTTTACAAAAGAAGAGTATAATTGAAGTGTGTTACATCTCAGGCATGGTCCATATATTGCAAACAGCTTTTAATCTTAGCAGTTGAAACTGACATTAATCATTAATATGCATTTTACATAATTATTTGTTTGCATATTCTAATGATATATTTTAGTGCATATGACTGTCTTCCTGTTCAAAAGAGTATCTAAATACACAACTTCCAATTTAAAAAAAATAGAACTGTAGCATTGTTTCTTCTTAAATATGCAATTTATGTAAACCTCTTAATTATTTTGACATATAAGAATATTTCAGTATTTACCTGTCCTATGAATTGTGCTTGTCATCCCTACATCGAACATTCTTCCATAAAGCACTTTGAATTCTGAATACCCACTACACTCAACTTTTTTGCCAAAATGTTATGTTTAATTGTTACTATCTATTCCATCTGCATATTGGTTTAGTGTATTTTGCTAAGCAGATTTTACAAAAAAAAGAGAAAAGGATAACTATTTACAATGTGATTTCCACACAATGGTCAGCAAGTAATTGTTTTAAGGCTGAGTATAAACGGATTATGAAATAATATCTATTTAAAAAATATTTTTTCCTTCCCACATTTATATTAACTTCAGCATCCTCTCAAAATATTACTCAGAGATCAATCAATGTGTACACAAGATTTGTCCAACATGATAAATTTAAAAGTTCTGAATATTGAGGTATTTCTATTACCTTTGAGTACACTGTTCCTAATACCAAAATACTTTTCATGGTCCCTTGGAGAAAGATTGTGTAGAATAATCTTCATTTTCAGTAATCAAGACTTGAGTATGTAGAACCAATGTGGAAATGGGGGGGGGCTGTTTTTACATACTTTCAGAGCATTAGTACTCATGCACATATAAAGAGTGAATATGTGAAGTTGTGTGCCTTAATAGCCAAACAGGTGTTTACATACGCTTGTAAAATACACTGCATAACACATGTGTGTGAGAGGGTGTGTGTGCATGCACACACTCCCTCACATACACAGAGGAGAACCGCCCAGAGTCTTTTTATTCATGCATCCTTAAATACAATTCCTGATGTTTAATGTGCCAACCTAAGTTTTGTGATTTTTCCAACACTGGTCTCTTAGAAAAACCTAAACTCTCACCAGCCGTCCTCCTGCTTCTAAAATTCACAGAACCTTCTTCCCCAATGCAGCCTTGGACACCTCCCCGAAAATATTAGGACTCTTGTCCTCTCCTAAAGTTTGATGGCATTCTTACGACCCCCCCCCAAACTTTGTTGCTGACCTTCCCACAACGCTTCACTCCTAAAAAAAACCTCTCGATTTAAAGTCCCCCCCCACATCACAGATAGTTTCTGCATTGCCCCTTCCCCCCATATGCTCCCACCGGGAATGATGGAGCTATACCCCCACACACACACACCTTTCCCCGAACTTCAAAGGTCCCTTCTTCCTTCATTTTCAAAATTTGGCCAACCCCCTCCCTCCTTCCCCCCAGCCTTTTTGTCTCTCCCTCCCTCCCCAACCAGGGCTCCCTTTCCCGCGCGCCCCATCTCCATCCCCATCTGCTGTTGCTGCTGCCCTGAGAGCATCTTTCATCCTGGTGCTGATGTTGCTGCATCTTTCTCGTTGCCCGGGCAACCGTCGCCGGGGACGGGGAGGGGAGGAGGCGAAAGGATGGAGGGAGAAGNTATCTGGTCTGGGCTGCACCCATGCGCGCATGGAGGAGTCAGCTTGCGCCCACCGATGGAAGCAGAGGTAGGTGCAGTCTCTATGCAATCCCCCCCACCCCGCCTCCTCCTCCCTGTCTCCTTCCCTCTCTCTCTCTCCCATTTAAAAATCTTTAAAACTTTGCATATTAATATCTGCGCTTTGCATAAATCTCACCCGCTCTTTATTCTGGGCTGCACCCATGCGCGCATGGAGGAGTCAGCTTGCGCCCACCGATGGAAGCAGAGGTAGGTGCAGTCTCTATGCAATCCCCCCCACCCCGCCTCCTCCTCCCTGTCTCCTTCCCTCTCTCTCTCTCCCATTTAAAAATCTTTAAAACTTTGCATATTAATATCTGCGCTTTGCATAAATCTCACCCGCTCTTTATTGATTGCAAAATGCTTAATGCAGCAGCTGGTCTATTGCACACACACACATACACACACACACACAAGGCAGTCTATTCCTTTCTCTCTCTCTCTCTCTGTCTCCCAACACAGCAGCTGCAATTGTTCCTTGCAAGAGCTGTCTTTTTTCTCTCTCTCTGGCATTTTTTTCCGGGTGGTGTCTGAGGCTCAACGTTTAAGGAAAGGGACCCCCCAAATTTTTTTTTACAAAGCGGGGGAAATAATCGCGGAGAGATGCATAGATAAAAATGCAATTTTTAAAAAAAAGAAATAAAATGCAAAAACAAAACACAAATTTGATATAGACGGGCTTTGGAAAAAAAAAGGCATTTTTATTCTTTCCAAAAGGAAGGCGTGGTGTTTTTTTTTCCTTGTTCCTTTTTTTTGCAAGGGTAAAAACAGCATTTGCTGGCGGTTCGTCCCTTTTGTTGAACGGTTTGGTGGACGGAAGGACGCTTTTAAAATATTTTTTTCCTTGCATGGATGAAAAAAAAATCAAATCAAATCGGAAGACGGGGAAAAGCGGTGGAGGATTTTCTATAAATGTCTCTGCCCTCGGTGGCGGTGGCTCGGCTTTTGATGCTCAGGCGATGGAAGAAAGAAGGGAGGGGAGAAAGGATAAATAGGCAGAAGGAACCGGAGCACATATGGGGGGGGGGCGCGATTTGTGTCGCCGGTGCTTGTGATTTTGGAAAGCGGGCACTGATCGCTCGGCAAATGTTTTGCAATATTTAATAATAACAACAATAATTTTACAATTTCTCCATTCCCCTCCTTCCCCGGTTGCACTGTACATTATTGGGAACTGCTGCTTTTTCTTCTTTTTTTGCACGGAGTGGAGTGGGGGGGGAGCTTTTATTGGGACGTGGGTGTGTGGATGTATACCTATATATTTTTCCTGTCTGTTAATAAACACAAGTTGCCAAAAAAAGAGGGAACCGGAACGG